GAACTTTTTAATAAGAACTAGCTAGAGAGAATTGAGTTGATGCATAAGGGATTCAAGACACACCTATATATACACATTCAAAAACTTGATTCGCAAGTTCATGCAAATATCTTTAAAAAAGTGCATGCTTTATTCACGCATAAAAGTATACTCATTACCTTGTTGTAAACTGTAAAGCAAACAACTTACCGCGTGGATCATCGGTTTAGGGCAAAACTAAGTTACCTACGTGAATAGGTCATTCCATTTTAGGGAAGGTGAAAGTTGAAAAGAAAAACAATTGATCCGATTTGTGACATTCTCGGCATGCGTAATGCTTTACGTAACTCCTCATTAGCATATACAAATTTGTAACATTTTCAAATACTTAATTAGCTTAAATTATTAAATCGTATTAGTGTAACCTACACATTTACATGAAATTGACAACATCGCTGTCATATGTGCATTGTTTTTTTGTCATATGTGCATCAGTGCATGTTAACTTTGGTGGTACTGGTAAGTGGTATCCTATGAGAACAATGCTAATCAAAATTATTAAAACCATAATTGATGATCACTGGTTTCTTTAAAGATCGATAAAATTTATTTTGGGATATTTTCCACACCAAATGGTCACAATTGTATTAGAACGTAAAATTTGCTGTTGATAATCCACACTTAGCAAATCCATAAAAAAAAGTGATGTGTATTGGGCTACTATATTGTATTTGGACTCTTATTGTTATATTCTCTAGGGTTATACTTAAGCTCATCTCTATGTATGTATATATACTCTAGATTGTACATGGAATAAGACACTTCCGCAAACTCTGACATGGTATCAAAGACTTAGGGTTTATTTTTCAGAGCCGTTGTTTCTTGTGTAATTAGTTTGTTGAGAGTTTCTTCTTTGGTTGTGAGTTTTTTTCTTTTCTTTTGAAAGCTTCTTTGTTTTCTCTGTTCGCGTGAACAGTTGGTGTGTTTCTTCAACAATGGTTGAGTATGAGGTATCGAAAACGACAGAGTCTCCTCCTAAAGACTCCAATCTCTTATATGATTTTTATCTTCATCCGTCGGCTGATCCGGGACAAGTTATATGTAGGCTTCAATTGAACGGCAACAATTATGAGCGTTGGTCAAAACTTATGCGCAATACGTTTAAGGCAAAGAACAAATTGGATGGTACAGTTACAAAACCGATCCGCGGGAACGATGAACTCAAGATGTGGAGAATTGTTAACAGTATGATGGTGGCATGGATTGTAAATAGCATCGAGCCTAGCATCGAGCCTGGACTTAGGAACTCAATTTCTTGTGTTGATAGTGATTTCCAATTGTGGGAAAGCCTTCGACAACAATTTTCACTTAGTAATGAGTATCGTGTGTATAAATTGAGTGCTTCGATGGTGACGTTTAAGCAAGATAATTTGTCAGTTCAAGCATATTATGGAAAACTTAAGCTCATGTGGGATGACTTATTAGAATATGAATTCAGTCCTGAGTGTTGTTGTGGAAATCCGAATTGCAAAATAATCAAGGTTGCTGAAGCTAAACGAGATCGTGAGCAGATATATTATTTCCTTATGGGTCTTGATAACAATCGTTTGGTGCAATAAGGTCAAACATACTTTGTATGCAGCCTCCGTTGACCCTCGCTGCTTCATTTTCTATGGTCCTCCATGAAGAAAGACACCAAACCATTACCGTGTCTCTTGATATGTCCCATATTTTACCTATATTACTATTTATTTTACTATATTTTCTATGCATTTATCTACGGTTTTATGCCTTTAAAGGTAGTTTTTCTCGTATTTGTAGTTTTAAAATTTTTACAGGGAAATCAAGCAAAAAAGATCTAAAAGAGCCAAAATAGGTGTAAAATAAGCCACAGCAACTTACACAAGCCAAAGACACCTTCAAAGAACCAATAATTCACAAGAAACAACATTTTACCAAATTGGACAGAATGCATACGCCAGAAGTTTAGCAGTAAACGGAAGATCAAATCAATTTGGAATTGGACGAAACTTGGTGTGGAGATAGATCTTTGAGTGAGCTTCACAATGAAGTTTGAATCATCTCAATTGGAGCTGTGAACAGGAAGATTTACTAGATTTACTGAAGACACATCAAGCTGCCTTAGAAACGAAGCAAGTGCAGAATCGACCCAAGTACCGGACCACCTCGTGGACCGATATTTGAGGCTGATGCTGGCACAAATCAAGGCACTTTGACCCAATATCGGTCGTGTCTTTGGTCCGACACTGTCAACCGACTTTGGAAGAGTTTTGACGTAAAAAGACCGATTTGCCCCAAAGTGAACCCTAGAAGAACTTAAACCTTTATATACTTATTTTTAGCCTTTTGTTAGGGATATTCCAAAATATTAAGAGTATTTTTATCATAGGAGCAGCCACCACGAGTTCTCTTGGTGTTTTTCATTAGATTTGGATTCTAGAGCAATCCGGTGGATGGTCTCGCTTTGTACTTCGATA